TTCAACATTCTTCGCCAACACCATAATTCAAAGGCGTCAATTTTCTTTGGTCTTCCTTATTCACTGTCCAGCTTTCGCATGCATATGAGGCAACTGAAAATACTATGGACTGGGTCAGGCACACCTTAGTCCTCAAAGTGATATCTTTGCTTCTGAACACTTTAAAAAGGTCTTTTGCAGTGGACTTGCCCAATGCAATGTGACATTTGATTCCTGACCGCTGCTCCCATGGGCATGGATCCAAGTATAATGAAATGCTTGACAACTTCAGTCTTTTCTTCATTTATCATGTTTTTGTTTATTGGTTCAGTTGTGAGGATTTTTGTTTACTGTATGTTGAGGTGTAATCCATACTGGAGGCTATAGTCTTTGATCTTCATCAGTAAGGTGCTTCAAGTCCTGTTCACTTTCTGTAAGCAAGGTCGTGTCATCTGCATATCCCAGGTTGTTAATAAGTCTTCCTCCAATCCTGATGCCCAGTTCTTCTTCATATAGTCCAGCTTCTCTCAGATTATTTGCTCAGCATATAGACTGAACAAGTATGATGAAAGGATACAACCCTAAAACACAACTTTCCTAACTTTAAACCACACAGTATCCCTTTGTTCCATTTGAACAACTGCCTCTTGGTCTACATACATGTTCCTCACGAGCACAATTAAGTGTTCTGGAATTCCCATTTGTCGCAATGTTATCCATAATTTGTCATGATCCACACAGTCAAATGCCTTTGCACAGTCAATAAAACACAGGTAAACATCTTTCTGGTATTCTCTGCTTTCAGCCAAGATCCATCTGACATCAGCAACGATATCCCTCATTCCACGTCCTCTTCTGAATCCAGCTTGAACTTCTGGCAGTTCTCTGTCGATGTACTGCTGCAACCACTTTTGAATGATCTTCAGCAAAATTTTACTTGTGTGTGATATTAACAATATTGTTCGATAATTTCTGCATTCTGTTGGATCACCTTTCTTTGAAACAGGCACAAATGTGGATTTCTTCCAGTCAGATGGCCAGGAAGCTGTCTTCCAAATTTCTTGACATAGATAAGTGAGCACCTCCAGCACTGCATCCATTTGTTGAAAAATCTCAACTCGTATTCCATCGATTCCTGGACCCTTGTTTTTCGCCAACACTTTCAGTGCAGCTTGGACTTCTTCCTTCAGTACCAGTGGTTCTTAATCATATGCTATCTCCTGAAATGGATGAACATCGACCAATTCTTTTTGATACAGTGACTCTGTATATTCCTTCCATATTCTTTTGATGCTTCCTGTGTCATTCAATATTTTCCCCATAGAATCTTTCAGTATTCCAACTTGAAGCTTGAATTTTTTCTTAAATTTTTTCAGCTCGAGAAATGCTGAGTGTACTTCTCTTTTGGTTGTCTAACCCTAGGTCTTTGCACATTTCATTATAATACTTTGTCTTCTTGAGCTGCCCTTTGAAATATTCTGTTCAGCTCTTTTACTTCATCATTTCTTCCTTTCGCTTTAGCTACTCTGCATTCAAGAGCAACTTTCAGAGTCTCTTCTGACATCCATTTTGGTCTTTTCTTTCTTTCCTGTCTTTTTAATGACCTTCTGCTTTCTTCATGTATGACGTCCTTGATGTTATTCCACAACTCATCTGTTGTTCGGTCATTAGCGTTCAGTGTGTCAACTATGTTCCTGAGATGGTCTCTAAATCCAGGATATATAAATCCAGGGATATACTCAACGTTGTATTTTCGCTCTCGTCGACTTGTTCTAATTTTCTTCAGCTTCAACTTGAACTTGCATATGAGCAATCGATCGTCTGTTGGATAGTCAGCTCCTGGCCTTTTCTGACTGATGACATTGAGCTTTTCCATTGTCTCTTTCCACAGATGTATTTGATTTGATTCCTGTGTATTTCATCTGATGAGGTCCATATGTGTAGTCATCGTTTATGTTGTTATAAAAAGGTATTTACAATGAAGAAAGTTGTTGGTCTTGCAAAAATCTATCATGCAATCTCTGGCATCATTTCTATTACCAAGGCCATGTTTTCCAGCTATCGATCTTCCTCTTTGTTTCCAACTTTCTCATTCCAATCACCAGTAATTATCAAGCATCTTGACTGCATGTTTGATCAATTTCGGACTGTAGAAGTTGGTAAAAATCTTCAATTTCCTCATCTTTGGCCTTAGTGGTTGGTATAGAAATTTGAATAATAGTTATATTAACTGGTCTTCCTTGTAGGCCTATGGATATTATCCTATCACTGACAGCACTGTACTTCACGACAGATCTTGAAATGTTCTTTTTGCCAATGAATGCGATGCCATTCCTCTTCGAACTTGTCATTCCCAGCAGAATAGACCATACGATTGTCTGATTCAAAATGGCCAATACCAGTCCATTTCAGCCTACTAATGCCTAGGATATCAATCTTTACACGTTCCATTTCATTTTGATGACTTCCAATTTTCCTAGATTCATACTTTGTACATTACATTTTCTGATTATTAATAGATGTTTTCAGCTGTTTCTTATCATTTTGAGTCATGCTACCTAAGCAAAATGATGGTCCCAAAAGCTTGACTCCATCCTTGTCATTAAGGTCAACTCTACTTTGAGGAGGCAGCTCTTGCCTAGTTGTATTTTGAGTACCTCCCAACCTAAGGGGCTCATCTCCCCGCACTATACCAGACAATGTTCCACTACTATTCATAAGGTTTCCACTGGCCAATTTTTTCAGAAGTAGATTGCCAGGTCTTTCTTCCTAGTTGTCTTAGTCTGGAAGCTCCGCTGAAACCTGTCCACTATGGGTGACCCTGCTCATATTTTAAATACCAGTGGCATAGCTTCCAGCATCACAGCAACATGCAAGCCACTAAAGGATGACAAACTGACAGATGCATGGGGCTTGGGCTTGAGGTTTTGATTTCTAAGGGGACATGTCTTCCCTCTACTCAGAAATAGGAAGTAGCAGATAAGCTTTCTGGTTGTCTCCCTATGCTGCTGGCCATATTATATTTCTGGTCTACCTTTCCACTGCAGAAAACCTGTAAAGCATCCTATTTTCAAAACTTCATTCTGGTCTCTGCTCAAGTATCAACTTATCAGAAGAATTTTCCTGAATAACCTCTAAATAACACCCACTATTACTGTCTTTTTTAAGACTGCTTTATTTCCCCAAATAGTATGTATTACACCTGGTGTATGAGATATTTGCTTGTTTGTGATTGTCTGTACCCCACCCCTCCTACCTGCTAGGATTTAATCTCTATGATAGCAGAGGCTTTGATTGACGTTTGCATGGTCATTAAGCAAGATTTCTCATTTTATTGATTGTACATATTTTAAGACAAAAGCAAAAACCTTAGAAAAAATCAATGTAGGACATAGATACTACTTTCCTTTGAACAATGGTACTTAAAACATAACAAATTATTCTCAGAGGACATCTTTGTAGGTGTGAAATACAGCATAAGAATAAAACAGTGCTTCAAACACATCTGTACAGTTTAAAGAATAATTATAGAGTTAACACCCATGTAAACACAACTAAGGTCAAGAAACAGAACATTTCCAGAACCATAAAAGCCCCCTGCCACGTGACCCCTCTTCCCACACAACTCCTCACTCCTCCAAATTTTTTGACATATCATAAAAATTTCCTTTTCTTTATAGTCTTACCTCCCAATGTATAGACCTCTGTTATGAATTATACTGTATCCCCCAAAAATGTGTTGTCAACTTGGCTAGGCCATGATTCCCAGTATTGTGCGGTTGCCCACCATTTTGTGATCTGATGTGATTAACCTTTGTGTTATAAATCCTAACCTCTATGATGTTAATGAGGCAGGATTAGAGGCAGTTATGTTAATGATGAAGCATTCAATCTACAAGATTAGGTTGTACCTTAAGTCAACCTCTTGAGAAATAAAGAGAGAAGCAAGCAGAGAGGAGAGGGACCCCGTACCACCAAGAGAGAAGAGCTGGGAGCAAAATGTGTCCTTTTGACCCAGTGTCCCCGTGCTGAGAAGCTCCTAGACCAGGGGAAGCTTGATGACAAGGACCTTCTCCCAGAGCCAACAGAGAAAGACTTCCCCTGGAACTGGTGCCCTGAATATGGACTTCTAGCCTCCTAAACTGTGAGAGAATAAATTTCTATTTGTTAAAACCATCCAGCCAATCACTTGTGGTACTTGTTATAGCAGCACTAGATAACTAAGATAACTCCCAGGCAACATAGCCTAGTTTTTTCCTATCTTTTATATACATATATGTATATATGTATGTGTACATATATATATATATATATACACACACACACAGCATTAAAATATTACATAATTTTTAGAATATTATCATGATAGATACTCAGTTTTTTAAAAAGTCTATTGTTGCTCAGAACTCAAAGGATCTGATGAATATGGTAAATTTCAATGCAATCACCATCTATACTCTCAGAAATCTCATAATGAAAAGGGATAGCTGCACAGAAAATACTAAACAATATATAATAAAAAATATTTTGGACTTTTGTGTCACTGTGCTTTTTGGTTATATTTTCATCTACCAAATCATGGAGCATTTCCCAACTGACTGGTGGCTAAGCAAGAGGGGAAAATGGCCATAGATTAAAACATCCCCATAAATCTTGCACAAAATACTCATTCAATATTAGAGAATCAAGAATTAATCTGATGAGAAAAACTATCAGAAATATAAAATATGTTTCAGCCTTAAGAAACTATTTTTATGTTACTGTCCATCTAGGAAACCCCAGAAAATCCTTTGAACTAGCAGATATGAGAAGAGTATAACAGAATTTCTCTAGAATATCAGACATGCATGAGTCAGAACTGACTGGACAGCAAGGGGTGGTTGTGGATAATATAGCCATTAAGCTACTTAAGAAAACATGTATACTGGAGAATATCCTTATAATCAACCCTGTTATTCTGTGGAACATACAAGTCAACATAGCATTTAACATTTCTATCAACTTAAAAAAGAGACTCAAACCTTTCAAGTTCTTTCTTTTGTCCTCCAAATGCCATCACAGTTCTAACTGCTGCTAAGACCTCTTCAGCTACTGCTCCAGCTTTTGCATATGCCAAGAGTTCTTTATCAGTAAATGTAGATAATATCTGTTTAAAAATGTAATTTTAGATCATTTAAAAGTTTTAACAAGGTAACTTTATATTTTATAGAATAAAATAGATTTTTATTTTATTTGATTTTGTATAGAACAAAATCTTTTACTCTTTGGTCTTGATATCTTACTGTACGTACACACACAGATATATATACACACACACAGAGCATATATTCATATATACATTCATTTCATAAGCCACCTCAAATTCTTTTTGGACTGAGATAGGGTACAATAAATTAATTTAAAATTTTATTTTCCCATTGAGCAACCTGTGGATCCTCATCTAAATATAACTGCAACTATTTGGGATATCTTAAATTACAGAAATGAAGGCGTGTATGATACTATAATTATAAACAAAAAAAAAGGGCATTATATCAAGGAAATATGGTGTGTGCTCAACACAGCAATTGCTGATGGTACTCTGGCTCAGAAGTGTTAAGGTGGGAGGCAGAGGAATGCAGCAGACCAAGCACTATGTGGTGACAGGACTTCAAGAAGGTTTCACATGCCAGGGGAAGCAGTGAGTTTCCTTTGCTGGTGTTCCTAGGCAAACAAATACACTCAGCTGCCAGGGAGGTCTTTGTTTCATGGATTCTCTTTGATCCTTCTATTTAGCTCCTGAGCATCTAGTCTGTGAAAGAACAGTGCTGGGTACTCTATATACACAGAATCTCAATTGTTCCTTTCAATTGCACAGTGAAGTAGGCATTATTTTTCCCACTTTATATATGAGGAAATGAAGGCATGAAGAGGTTAGGTAATTTGCTAATAAGTGAAATATCCAGGATTCAAGTGTGAGTCCATGCGGCTGAAGCCTGAATTAGCAGCCACTGGAGTGAATCTCTCTCTGAAACTCAGCCACTGACATGCGAACTCAGGTCCCAGAGGGCCCTATTTTAAAACCCAAATCAGTTGGCATGGGCAAAGGACTATGGTCACTGTTTGTACCTAGAGTGCCAAAATGGTCATTCATCTAAATAAAGATTACATACAATCAATTCATAATAAAATTCTGATTAAACAGTATTATAATATTTCAATAAATAATTCACTGGCTTTTGCGGACTCATTTGTGTAATATCACCCTATTCCCTCCTGGCACAAAAACCTCAAAAGTTGTTTTAATTTTAGCAGTTCACTTCTTCCTTTGCTGTGTGTGAAACTGAAGAAGCTATAGTAGGGACAGGAATGAGTGGGTGAAGGGAAATGGACATTTATTGACGATGTTGTCCTGAGAGCTTTACATATATCTACTTTCATTTAATCCTCAACAACTCCTGTAAGGTATATACTATGAATATTTATAGCCAACGTCACACAGCTAATAAGTGAAAGGCTGCAAGAAAGTGCAGGCATTTATGCATCTATGTGTCCAGGTTCAAACAACTTGAGCTTTGGGAAAATCCTAAGCTTTGGAATCAGAAACTTCTTTCCACAGTTCAACCTTCCAATATGATCTTGGGTAAGCTTGTTCTTGTGGAATCTCTGCTTCCAATACAGAGAGAAGAAAATAATACTTAATTCACAGATTTCTTAAAAGAATTAAATGCAAGAATCTATAAAATAGCCCTAACAATATTCCTGGCATTTAATAGCATAGTTTCCTTATCCGCCAACTTCCCTCACACTATGTTATGCTACCTCTAAGGTGGCTTCATAAAAAGGGAAAAGAAAGTCTAGTAGAGGTTCATTATTCATCTTGCCTATTCTCTTTTATACCCAAAGCAATAGCTCATGGATTCAGTAGACCTTCCTGATTTCTCAAAGTAATTTTCCTAGGGCTGCCCCACTTGCCTAATCATTCACAGCATAGGGTCTGAGTCAGGGTGGTCAGTACCATCCCCGAACAAACAGGCCTGTAGGATACGGGAGATGTATGCAGTATGCCTTAGTTATTTCTTTCTGCTCCTCCTCAAACCTCACCCCATTATAACCCCCCAACAATGGAAGCAGCCAACAACAAGAAGATTATCAAAATATATTTCTGAATGGTTGTTTAAAAATATGCTATTTTTATTTGTTATTAACATGCCAAGAGCTACACTGAATTTAACAAGCCTGGCTCTTCCTCCCTTCTAGAACCTTCCACAATTTATGGTAGAATCTTCAGTAAGTCTTTTTTTCCTCCTTCTTTTTCTAATGAGATATCTATTAAAAGAACCAAAAACTCACGTAACCACCACCCAGATCAAGAATTGAAGATCTGTCTGTTTCTCCTTTTAACCCTATCAGTTTATATATTTTGAGGCTGTTTTATTTGGTGCATACACATTTAGGATCATTACATCATCTTGGTGGATTGATCATTATGTAATGTCCCTCTTTGTCTCCATTAATTTCCTTTCCTCTGAAGTCTACATTACCAGGTTAATATAGCCACTCTTGTTTTTTTTTGAATTAATGTTTGCATGGTGTTTCTTTTTTCATCATGTTACTTTCAACCTACCCTTGCTGTTGAATTTGAAGTAAGTTTCTTTTAAGCAACACAGAACTGAGTTGTGTTTTGTTTTCTTTTTTAGCCACTCTGCCAATCTCTGTCTTTTGATTGATGAAATTAGACCGTTTATATTTAAGGTAATTATTGGTATGTTGGCACTTAGCACTTAAGTCTACCATTTTATTTCTTTGCTTCCTATTTGTTTCCTCTGGTTCTCATTATCCTGTTTATCTATTCTTGCCTTCCCATGAGTTACCTGAGCAATTTTTAGGATTCTATCTTGATTTATTTATACTGCTTTGTTATGTATATCTCTGTGTGTTTTTTGTAATAGCTGCTCTGAGTATTGCAATATATACCAGTCTACTGGTATCAACATTTTACTACTTATATTGTGTGATTTTACGAAACTCACAAGGGAAAGGCTAGTCTGTTCTATGTGCCCATATGCCTGCTCTTTCTGTTGTCTTTTCTCTCTTCCTGATGTTCCAAGATTCCTTCTTTCATCATTTCCTTTCTGTTTGAAGAATTTCCAATCTTTTTCCTTAATCTGAAGATATTTTTATTTCTCCTTCATTCCTGATGGATAGTTTTTACCAGACATAGGATATGTGGTTGACAGCTCTTTCCTTTTAGCACTTGAAAAATATTGTGCTACTTCCTAAGATTTTCTATTTTTTTCATTTGTTTCAAGAGAACTTGTAATTGATCATTGAAGCATTTTTATGATGGCTGCTTTAACATCTTTGTCAGATAATTCCAATATCTGATTGATCTCGGTGTTGACAAGAGTTGATTGTTTTTCTCATCCAAACTGTGATTTTCTTGGTTCTTGGTATGACAGGTGATTTTCAGTTATATCCTGGAGATTTTGTCAAATGTCTTAGGAGATGCTGACTCCTATTTAAATATTTTATTTTAACAAGATGTCACCCTGTTTAGGTTGAGTATGTTGTTCTTGGCCTATTTTTGTGAACTCTGTTTTCAATATAAAAAAAAACCCCAAACCCGTCGCCATTGAGTTGATTCCAACTCATAGCGACCCTACAGAACAGAGTAAAACTGCCCCATAGGGTTTCCAAGGAGCAGCTGGTGGATTCGAACTACCAACCTTTTGGTTAGCAGCTGAGCTCTTAACCACTGCACCACCAGGGCTAGTTTCAATAGTAGTTTACTATTCAGAGCCTTTGTAGTGTTAATTGTGGCCAGCTTATCTGGCATTGCTGGGCCTTCCACTGGCCCCTGCTGGTGCAACCTGAAGGGGCAGAGGCGTTTCTATGGGCCCAGCCACTGGGTATTTCTTGGCATGGGAGGGGTTTAGTGGATTACCTTTCCTGAGCCCCCTCCATATCTTCCCCAGTGTCCCTGGAGGACAGTCTTAGGCCCACAGGTACAAAGAGGCTTCCTAGACCAGACCTCTTGCTATGAGTGAGTCTCTTTTTCTTTTCTGCCTGCTCACTCCTGAGTCTCTGAAAAAGAGTCTCAGGCTCACGGAGATAAAGATGCTTCCCAGACCCAGCCACATTTTACAATGTGGCTGACAATCAGAGAATTTAAGAGACTTGTTTGAAATCATGCTAAAAGCTTACAGCAGCATGGAAGCATTAAAACTTAGTTCTCCAACAGCCAGCCTAGGGCTTTTTTTTTTTTTAAACTAAATAAATAGTAACCAAAGTAATGAATAATTAATTATTTAGAGATTAACTATGGTCTGTTTTCCCACATTCACTAGAATGGAAATCAATATATTTCAACATGTATTGAAATGAAGAATTTGCTACCTAGCTCTCTTAAGTTTCTATTTAATAGAAAAATCAATTAACCGGAGAAGCTTTTGCCAGATATTTCAGTCAACTGATACAAAGATGCAATTTAATTGCTAAGAACACCATGTAAACCCTGTGTTAAATCTGAGCAATGAATTAACACAGTCCTTAGAACTTCAGTTTCTTCCTCTGTAAAACGAGACAATACTTATACTTCAGAATGATAACATACATATTTGCCTGATATAGCAGAGGTTCAATAAATGGTAGTTATTGTTCTCAGTAGCATAGCAACATCCATCCTATTGGGTAAATTTGCAAAACTTCTTAGATACTTCTTGTTGCTGTGTGCCATTAAGTTGATTCTGACTCATATGACAGAACAGAACTGCCCCATAGGGTTTCCTAGGCTGTAATAAGCAGATCGCCGGGTGTTTCCTCCTACAGAGTTGCTGGGTGGATTTGAACCACTGGCCTTTTGGTTAGCAGCCGGGCACTTAACCACTGTGTCGCTAGGGCTCCTTCTTAGATACTTATACCCTGATTTATTCTGTGTTAGGCTTGGATTTCGCTAGTCTGCCTTTTCTTTATATCCTTCTGCTACATAAATTTGTAGGCTTCTCTAAATTGTACCAAACCTAACAAAAAATACTGGACCAATCTCCCCACTACCACCCAGACTTACATCAAATTAGTTTAAAACGAAGACCACGTGCAGCCTGGAAAGGCAATTATCAGTTTTACAAGATGATCAGAGGGGTGTGTGCAGAAGTGGGGAGGTCCTCTTCTACTGCTTTGCCTTCATGATTGGGTTTACATGGATAGAGGACTAGAAAGTATGCTTATTTTCTTAAAATAATGTATTTAAATATACATAAACATGGCACCACTTACAACGCTGACAAAACTGTAAAAACAATTACAAATTAAACAAAATCTATAAAACCAAAAACATTAAAATCAATGTTAATTGAATGGGACACATGTGTTGCTTACTGAATTTGATTCCCTACTTGCTATCTAGATATGGCATTGTCTACTAGAGAACATGGCTCTTCAGAATTCAGCACGCCTTTAGAAAGTCTCTTTTATGAAAGCACGAGATGAGATGACAGCCACTTCCTTTTTTTCTCATCCCTTCCCCAAATAACCATGTGACCAAGGGCAGCACGGAATCCAGGCAGGGTTAGGACTCAGTGAGGATGAGTCTGCTTATTCTCCTCTAATTTTGAAAAGAAGATTTAAAACCAAGGGAAATTTATCAAGTACAGAATCAGTAAGAGATTCTTCCATTAAGGAGGGGGAAACATAACCTGGATTTCCAGACTTTACCTACCTTTGCCCAGATAGCAGCTGAAAGTCCAAGAACAGGACTGATGGCCAAAATCACAAGGGTTAGCTTCCAACCACGTGTAAATCCTACTATAAAACCAGTGCAAAACGTAGCTGTTGACTGAAAGAACATTCCAATTTTATCACCAATTCCTTCATTAATTTTGGAGACATCACTAAAAGAACAGATAGTATTAGAAATAGGTGTTAGAATTCTAACAGTACTTCTCTCCTGATCCAGTCTTTTTTGTCCCTTCTCAGTGCACTACATTTGTTTATATATAGGCTCTGTGTGTATATGATTATTTTGTTTGGCAGGGTGCAAATCTCCATCTCCAGTAGAATATTTGTCATTAAGAACAGGGATCTGCAATCTACAAGGCCCCAGGAAATGGGCATGAGTGTATTCAAAAACTATTCAACCTAGAAACTTCAAATTGTTCAGAACTTGCCCCAGAAACTGTCATGTGGTTGTTCTACTGCATATGCTCTGCATACTCTCAAGGAATTTCTTGAGTTTGGCATGTCTACTCCCTCATTCACAGCCATTCATGCAGGTCCCCTTATGCCCTGCCAGGGAACCAGGAAAAAAAAGACGTGTAAGACATGGTTGCTACTCAGAAGGAATTTACTCTCATAAATACTTCTGAGTGATGTACTAGTATCTCCTAACAGATCTGATGACATAGATTTCATTTTAATAAGAATAAGAACCACATCTGAGTTAAACATAAAACAAGGCACTTACTCTGTGAGCCGGGTGTTAAGCTCCCCAACATCATGCACATCAAACCAGCCTATCTCCTGTCGCATAACAGCATGAAAAAATTGTTTTCTAATTTTGTATATTTGTCTTCCAGCTGCCAGGCACCAAAATGAAACCTGAATGTAGGCAGCAACAAGCACACCAGCACCAATTCCACTGTAATAGTAGGCATACCTGAAAAACAACAAGAACACTGCACACATTCTCTGTTTTCTTAACTAACACATCTTTCCGCAGCATACCACTCATTCTCATGTTTTCAGTTATCCGGGTATCTCACTATCTTCAACAAACAAGGAGTTGTAGCAAGCAGAACTGATGGTCAGCAGCTAACTCTCAATAGACTGCAATGCTGAAGTGTTGTTTCTGCTTTGGCTCCAGTCCCAGTTCTTAACTGTTGTGTAATCTTAGGCAAGCTGCTTAATCTTTGTCAACCTCAGTTTTCTAACTGATAAAATGAAGATGAGAGTTGTAATACATTAATGCATGAAATAGACGTGGGCCAGTGCCCACATATTATACGTACTTAGATAATGTTAGTTATGGTGAAAGACTTGTGTGACACATTGGAGCATCACAGCATCAGGTTATAAGACCTACCATTTTGTGCTGTCTAGTTTTATTTCATCAGCATCAGCTGATAAGTGCTTTGGTGTGGTCTCTGCACACTGAGGGATGGAAATAAGTAGAAGGACTAGTCAGAAATTAGAACCAAGAGATGGAAATGGTCCTATGGCCTTTGGGGCTATTAATCTGGCAGAGTTTGGATGTAAGAGACTACTGAAAATAAAAAGCATTCTTATATCATCTGCCCAACTGGCTATCAGGAGTTATCCTAAAATGCTTAATCAATCAAATAGTAGCCCTTCCAGTTTAAATTCTAACAAAAAACATAAACATCTTCTAAAACTTGACCATCTAGAAAAGTTGAATTAATGTTTTCTTGCTCTGCACCTTCATATTTAAAAAAGCAAACAACTCTTGGGCTTCACTATGTAATTCATTTTTTGGTTAAAGGCAAACATTCCAAAATGGAGTATAGGATTCTAATATTCCCATTTTTTTAAGTTCACAGCTTGCCATCTTTAAATAAAAATGTTTGTATGAGCCATGTAGAAACTACAAATATGGCTAAATATTTTGATCATATTATTTCCAATTCAGTGTTTAACCTATCAGGAATCCTGGTAAACATATCTTCCCCAAGCTACACCCATAGTTCACAATGTATTCGTCAGGGAGTATACACTTAGAACACTAAATTTTAGTTAATGGATAACTCAGTAATTAACCATTATCCAACTGTTAGTGATATAGCAAGAGATGGCTAAAAAGAAACACCCATTTCTTTGACAATCAGTTAAGACATTTTAAACCATCAGTCTATTTACTCAAACAAAAGATATTTATATTTAAGCATTTATAAGATTACAAGACATTCTGTTTCATTTTTCCTAATATAAAAACAATGCCTCTCCATTTGGAGGTACTTGTTTCTCATTTTTTCAAAATATGACAAGTGTCTTCATTTTCTTTAAACTTACCAGATCATCTATTAAAAAAATGTGCAATTATCTTCTAACTCACCCACACACCTTTAAACATCTGTTATAAGCTGTTTACTAGGGATCAAACTTCAAGATACGTAAATCATTAACAAAAAGCTTCCCTAGATGAGTTAAGGTTAGAGTGACTATATTTATTCTTTGACACTGTTATTTTATTTCATTGCTTAGAATTTCGATACTGAGTTTTAAAAAAATCCTGTTAGCTTATCTCATCATTTCAGGACTGAAAACATCTACAAATGAAACTAATAATTACAAAGTCACTACAAATATGTTATTAACTACATTTTGAAAGGTCATTTTGAATACTTTGAGTACCTCTAATTTTCCTGTATATAATATTCTATATTTACCAATGCATACATAAATCTAATTTAGACCTAACCTTAACTTTAGTACATTTACTGCAGCAAATTATTTTCTTAAAAAGAAATCTACACTGTATCCTCCTGGAAAACAAACAGCATTGCTCTCCTCAGAACTTCAATTCTTTATTGTGATAATACAAAATTTTAAATATTTGCTACAACTGGATTGGTACAGTAAAGTTTTAAAATAGTAAGAAAAATGTCTAATTACGTGGTCATCTCCTCCTCTATATTGATGGGGATATCTCCAGTGCTGAAATTAGCTAGATCACCAACATGCAAAAAAAAAAAAAAAAAAAAACATTTACGTCTCTTTGTTCTCCAATAAAAATAAGCATATAAAAATGAATCAAAATCTTGTCACTTAATAATTTACATAAAAATAAGTCAAGTTGACTCAGTTTTAATTATTTAAGCATGCATCTATTCAAATACTTAACTGCTAGCCATGTGCAACCACACACATACACACACACACTGAATTTGATAATGCTTATTTCCAAGAAGCAGCCAACATTTAGTGAGAAGACGTCTGTCAGCAGAAACATCTGTGCCCTTGAATGAAAATATTTTATGAATATCACTCTAAGATGCCACAAGAGTAAAAAATCATTTCTAGGTTTTTGTCCTGATAAATAACTTGTCCTGATAAAATCCAATTCATACTTAGCACGAACATGCATATTTCAAAACTAACACTCCATTTTTCCAGTTTTAATTTTAAAAAGTACCAATATTAGCAAATGCAAATTTTTTTTTGCTTTAGATAATTTAAAATAAAAGAAATGTAACATAAAGTTGAACACCCCTTTATTTCTCTCCTAAGTCCCACTGTCCTGCTTCACTCCCTAGATGCAACCATTGCCATGAAGCTGTTATGTAACCTTCCAATCATGCTTTATGCAGTACTGCATAGGATGTTTTTAACATTTTACATCTTGCAAATCTGCTTTTTCACACAACATATTTTTGAGGCATACAGATCCCTTTTATTCATTGTAACTTCTATATAGCATTTTACTGTACAAATGTACTACAACTTAGTGGCTGGGCAGTGCAAATGGTTAAAAACTTGACTACTAGCCAGAAGGTTGGTGGTTCGAACCTACCAGAGGCACCTCAGATGACAGGCCTGGCAATCTGCTTTCGAAAGGTTACAACCTTGAAAACCCTGCGGAGTTCTACCCTGCACACATAAGATTGTTATGAGTCGTAATCAACTCGACAGCAGCTGACAACAACTACAACTTATCTATCAGTTCCCCGGTTGTTGTGTTCCAACTAATAGTGACCCTATAAGACAGAGTAGACGGAGTAGAACTACCCCATAGGGTTTCCTAGGCTGTAATCTTTACAGAGCAGATCACCAAGTCCTCTCTCCTGAGGAGGGACTGGTGGGTTCAAACCTCTGACCTTTTGGTTAGTAGCCAAGTGCTTAACCACTGAATGCCACCAAGGCTCCTTGTCAGTTCCCCTACTGGTGGACATTTAGGATATTTATGGTTTATCTCTTTGTGTACATGCATTTTCAGTTTTACTAGATATAACCAAATTATTCACCAAAATGATTATATGACACTTTCACTGGGAAAATATGGGTGTCTGTTTCTTCATGGTCTCTTTATCAACAGACTATTTCTACAATCTGATGGGTATAAAATATTTCATGTTTAATTCCTGTGATTATCAGTGAGGCTGAGCATCGTACATCTCTATTGTTCACATGGGTTCCTTCTTTTACTGTAAAATGTTTATATTCCTTGCTTATTTTTGTCCTGGACTGTTTCGTGCTCCACGGGAAAAAGATGTGGCAGTCTGTTTCCGTAAAGATTACAACTTTGGAAACTCTGTGGGGGCAGTTCTACTCTGTTCTATAGGGTCATTATGAGTTGAAATCAACTTGAAGGCAAGGGATAATGGGCTTATGTGTGTTTGCATCCCTGTTTTTTCAAAGGCATCTATTTTAGTTGTTTCCAGTATTTTATTGTTGCAAGCAATGCTGCATTAAACATAACTGTATGCACATATTATATATGTACATATGGTAAATATTTCTACCGAATAAATTACCAGAATCAGGATTGCTGGAACAATGGGGACGCAACACTTTATATCTTGCAGTCACTTCCAAAAGTTTTGCTATGAGAGGGTCTAGTTTAGATGAGTCAGATTTTGACGGGTTTGGGGAAGGGGAGGAGAAGTATATCTGGCAAAGTGAACAATATGAACAAAAGTCCACGGCATGTTTGGGGAATGAGTAAGCTAGTATAGCTGGTGTAAGGGGTGCGTTGTATGAATAGGAGGAGATGGATATATGGCTGGGAAGACCATCTAGGGCCATTTTGTGCAGGTATAGTGTATAAAAACAGACTAGTAGTCAATCAATGGTTCTGAGTAGAAAAGGACATAATTAGAGGTATGGTCTAGAAAGATTTAGCTGCCGCCGTGTAAGATTAATTGGAATAGGGAAAAACTGGGGGACTTAACCTACTATAATTATATAGTGAAAGAGGATCTAAACAAGGAAAAGCACCCACAAGATTTATAGGAGGAGCAGTGACAAGACGTATCAACTTATGGAACTTAAGTAAAAACATCTGTTTTACAAAACAATCAAGATCTCAGGCCTAACTAGGTGGAGAATGGTAGGACCGTGGAGAGAAATAAGTCAGCAAAAAGAACTAGTTTGTTCAGAAAAGGGAGAGAGACAAGAAGAATAGGATAAAGGAAAGACATGAGAGAATATTATCCAGTTTTCAACATTTTTATTGTATGGTTCATTTATTTTGGATGTTTCTCCAACGTTCAGTTGAAGATGTCCAATAAAGATTCAGGTTGTGACACCCTTTTAGATCAGTGGTGAAGTCATTTCCAAGGTTCACCATTCAGCTGGGAATTCGACAGCCCCATAAAACAAAATGGGACTAATCGGGCACAGCAGTCCAGGGACAAGGACTAGAAGGCAGAAGGGGACAGGAAAGCTGGTGATATGGAACCCAAGGTTGAGTAAGGACACTGTTGACATGTAGTGGGGTTGTTAACCATTGTCATATGCAACATGTGTACTGTTTAATAAGAAACTATTTTGTTCTGTAAACCTTCATCTAAAGTGAGAATAGCAGCACAACTGAAAGAACGTAATTGATGTCACTGAACTGTGCATGTAGAAATTTTTGAAATGGTGTATCTTTGGCTATGTATATTTTCA